CCAAAAACAGAAGCAGTCCAATGACCGAGCCTTGAGGGACACCGCTTGCGACTCCGACCTCCTTCGACGCTTCCCCTTTTATCATCACTCGTTGCTCTCTTCCTGTCAACCAGCCTGATCAACTCGCTCGTCCTACCCTGGATCCCATGGTCCTCCAGTTTAACCCGCAACCTCTTGTATCAAAAGCTTTCGCGAAATCTAAATAGACAGTCTACAGGATTCCCTATATCCATCTCCGCCGTCGCCCAATCGTAGAATTCGAGCAAATTGGCAAAACAATTTCGACGCTTCCTAAAGCCGTGTTGAGAGTCCGGAATGAGCGCGTTTCCTTCGAGGAAATCCAAGAGTTGGTCCCTTAGGATGATCTCCACGATCTTCCTCGGGATACTCGTGAGACTTACCGGCCTGTAATTCCCTGGACGACTCTTCTCGTCCTTCTTAAAGATCGATACGACGTTCGCTAGTCTCCAACCCTTAGGTACTTCCCCGCGCGAAAAGCTCCTTTCAAATATAATTATTAAGCGAAACCAATTTGGTTTCCTTAATGACTCTCGCAGGTATCCCATCGGGGGCCGGTAGCCTTGCCCACTTTTAACTTTCCTATCATACTCACGATCGTCTCCTGGGACGAGACCAATTAGGTAGTAGAAAAATAACTCCTTCGAGCCGGATTCTAACCAGCGACCTATGGATATCTGCACGTGCATATCTACAGTCCACCGCTCTACCAATTGAGCTATCGAAGGTTCCCCATTACGTTATTGTCAAGTGAGAACATGTGTACTGTACCTGTCCATTGTGTGACGACGTATTTGTATTTCATCACGGACGCTTGAAATCCCTCAATTCACAACAGCAGGCGGGAGGCAGCGTGGAGCGATGCCATTGTAACGTGGTGCACCAGGCTCCAACCTAATCACCATGGTGATCAAAAATAATTCACGATGACGACTAGAGAATATATTCGAAAAGTGGAAAGTAAAAAATGAAATCCTGAATGCGGACGAGGGGCGGACGGGATGACATTCTCGTTCGGACAAGAGAAAAAGGAGAGGACAACTTCATGACATGAGGGAAGGCATCATCCCTGGGATGTTCGGTTTTCGCCTTTGCTCACTCTACCGTTTCTGGAACACTAGAAGCACACCAAAGGAGAAAGAGAGGTGTTTGTGACGCCACAGAGCTAAGCATGCAATATGATTACGAGAGATCGGATTTTTCTGCCTTTTCTGTATGTAAACGATTTGTTATGGAATCGGAGTGATTGTACCCATACCTGTACATGTTCAAATGTGACCCTTGTACCTAGGATTGGTGTATGTCAAGATAGCACGGGTCTATTTGAATAGATATTGAGATAATTGTCCCTTAATGAAGGCTACTTGCTAACTTTCGAGTCGATGTCCTGTGTTGACATCTGTGTTAGTTGACAGTTGCCAGAATCAAAGTTAAACTAAATCCCAGCAAATATTTTATGGAAGTACCCCTTTCCAAACCCATTTATTTGACACGTACACGGACTGTACACCGGACCCATGAATTAATGGGAATGACTTTGTCCCCAAGTGAAGACTTTTTCTGAAACCTATATGATCAATGGTGGTCAGTTTAGGAAACGACTGCTCTGAAATCCTGAAAGGTCCTTATCCACTTTCACTCTTTAGTTAAGGCTCGACTAGCCCCTGTGGCGGGATGGAAAACAAGCACCAGAAGGGAGAGAGTTTTAATAAGAAAAAGTAGAGGAAGGGTTGATTTCTAAACTTCAAACCCTTTAGTCCCATAGTTTTACATAAAGTCCGATTCAATCACGAGTGTCTGAGAGCAGGATACGGAAGTTTCCTTCGAGCCTGAGTTGTGTTTCCCAATTAGGTGCTAGGGCCATTGATTGAGTAAGGGACTAAGCTGTGAGGAAAATCTTTATCTAAATAAGTGAAAACTTAAAAACCATATAATTTATTTGTATCAGTGACGGACCGGATATTTTTCTGTTCATTGAGGTTCCAATTACATTTGTTCCTTTTGCTTTGAAATTGTCCTCCAAGGGGCAACATTACATTTCTTTTTGTGTTCTCTTCGGTACTGTGGAATTAATTACTTTTATATAATAAATCTATTTAATCAGACTCGATATAGTGATACTCTATTCTCGAACTTAAACAACCACGACTCTTGCTCACCAAAATTATTTTGGGAAGTTTCGTGCGGTGCGGGGCATTGAAAGAGTGAAACGGAAACTTTAAAAGAAAAGTGAATCGCTTGAATTGTATTGAAATCCAGAGTAAAGTACTCGTTTCCTTGTATGTCGCTTCTTTGTGTCTATTCTGATAGATTGATACAATCCGACCCATTGAGTCTTGTGCACGAGACACCACCGTCCTCTGACGAGTTGCGACCCAACTCTCCTCTCCTTGTCCATGCTGAAAATGGAGATTCGAGAGCGAAATACCGATTTCCCTTCGTTCAGCGGGGGAAAACACACCGGATAGAAATTAAAAGTGTAGAAGCCTATTACTCCTTCTAAATACACTGTTGGACCTCAAGCATAGTGCTTCGTAAACCGGAGATCTAGATAGTGAGAGTGTTTTGCACATTAGTCGCCCAAGCCTAGTTAGCGGCCATATCGCGCGCGCTATACCTCGTATGTTTAACCGGGGGGACCTTGGTTGCGAAGGAACCAAGACTCCCCGGTTGAAATGAAAAGTGAGAGTAGGAAACTGTGACTAATATATGATTTTCCTTCTTTCTCGAGCTTTCCCCGAAATGACTGGGATCGATATAGAATGCTACTAAACGGACCCATTTATAAGTTGCGTGTGGCTGACGGAATGCACGTCACACCGCTGCTATTCTCCATTTGTACATAATTTGTTGGACATGGATTCTATCAGCTTTTTAAACTCTTGGGCGCTTCCCGTGTACTTCGTTCCGTGGCATGACGACATCCTTATTTCGTCTTCGTTTCAAATCATCCCGTGCAAGAGTAACCCACAGTTAGTCTCTTTAAAGAAGCATAAAAATTCAAGGAATCCCCTCTCATAGGCATCATTGTTCAACGGGATGATATTATACATGATGGATGCTGATATAATTATAAAGTGACACATTTCACAGTTCGGAGTTCACAGCGTTAGTATTACGCCTTCCAGTGAACGCGGCGTTTGTGTTATTTACTGAACTTTACATTCACGTCTACTGATTATAGTTATTTAGGTTTCATTTTCACTACTCTTGTGTTTGTGGGCACTCATTTCAGTATCCTGAGGCCCAGGATAAAATCACCAATGTTCGGACGGTCAAGCCAGGATAGGATTGTAATTCGCTCGTCCCGCCTTAATGGTAGACCCTTGATACTTCATTTTTAGCATCCAGCAGCACAACATTCTATAGTTGGTTATCCCATACTTGTGAAAATAAATCCTTTTGGCTTCAAACAAAGCACCTATATCCTCCTGAAGTACCAGATCACTCCCTTATCTTCCTCCAGTGCCACATCCAATCGCCCTTCTTACCAGCTGTTCAGGTAGTTGTTCCAGTGAGTGTTTTCATCTTAACCCTACTCCTGCTTCATTGCTTATGACGTCGTCAGTCTGGACCCAGAATATTCTGGGACCCGCAATACTAGGGCTAATGATGAGGTGAAGAGGATGATGTTGGAATCTTCCCCTGAGATGGCTGGCCCCTGTAAAACAATCCTCCCCTGTCCCTTGTCCCTCTGACTTCATTCAATACCCTCTCATTAAAAGAACCCCCCTAAAGTCGACCTCTATGACGGACGTTTTAACTCTGACCGAAGTTGAAATCGAGCCGTTATGGTACGTATTTTTGCAGCTGTGAAAACAAGAATGCACCACGAATACGTTTGACCCACGGAATACCAAGAGTCTCATTTTCACAAATTCTTTAGGATAATACCGGATGGCCCAAAAAACGCGTCGTCCTTGACGCTTTATAAAACTTGAAGTGCCCTGAGAACCCGACATCTGCATCTTCAACGTACCAATGTGTACGTCTGGACTATATTCGAACAAAGGTACGTACGCTGGCACAGATGTGGACTGGAAATACCTAAAAATGCCACGTTTACATTTCGCATTTGTGTCTCTCCTTGTATGTTACAAATTTGCTTCGTAAGATTCTCATTTCCTTTTGTGTTCTTTACTTTTTTCGCAACTATACTTTAAGATCGAAGATCATTTTAAATTACTTTTTGCTCTTTCCTATTCATTGGAATGGAGTAAATATATTCATTGATCCGATTCCATGCGTAGATACTCCATCATCCATCTTGAATAGACACGAATCTCGCTCACCTGTAGAAGTTCTAGGGGGGTTTCCGGTGCAGAACGTTGGGACAGAATGAAGTCTACTCTAAAGGAAAGTTGACTTTCTTAGGTTACATAAACTTGAATAATTTGGCTATTCTTTTCTATCCAATTGATTTTGCGATACAATCCAACCTGCTAAATCCTCGTGACATAATGCGCTGTATTAATTTAATGTTCTCTTCCTTCATACAGAAAGTGTCGATTTATTCCCAGTCTTTCAGTGATGAAATGTATTTTTTGCTTGATTTGTGCAATTAGCTGGCACTAACATCAATGCGATAGTGTGCTGTGGCAATATGTATGCAGCGTTCTCTTCTTACCTACTTTGGGAAAAGCAAGCAAGTGGAAGGGAGTCTGGTTGATGCAAGTGTTTGTGTTTTGGTAATCTATCCTGACTCCAGCAAGTCATGATTAGGAGTTCAAGTAATTAACTAGAAGGGCGGAGTGAGAGTGGACAGTTGCTCTTCCTCTGACAGAAGCATCTCCAACTCCGGATAGAGATTGTAATCGTTTCAATATTGCATCCTTTAATAAATTACAAATGAAAAGTGAACTAGCATGCGAATAAATAAAATACATTATGGTTTGTCGATGTCATCAAGGAGGAAAGACGTTCTCATTTGCATGCATTTTTATAATATTTTTATAATCTCAGGGAACTTGGAAAAACAGTTTCCAGTAATCAACAAAGACTCTATTACCGGCAAAAGTCAGTGCCAAAAGTGTCTTTAGGGAGTGTCTTGACTTGGATAGATTCAGTGACTTGTGAACCCCAATATTTCCGTCTAATGTTAGGGCAAAACATCAGCATCTGAATGGAAAAATTTCCAGGAGTGAATTTCTTTAATATCCAAAACCGTCTTGAATCGGCCAAAGATCCCGGTCATGCTTAATTTTCCCATTCGGTGATTTTTCGTTATAATCGCCATATAAGTATCGAATATATTCATTCTGCGTCATGATCATTCTCTGTTACGTCCCAAGGTAACAATAATTGTATTAAATTAATTTGACGGCAGACCGCAACAGAGATTGATGAATAATCATGATGGAATTTTCGTTTCACACAGGGTACAAGAGATACCCAAGAAAATGGGCATGACGACCTTCGCTTTTAGCCAAATTCCCCTCTTCCAAGTAGGCATAGACTTTGTCGCCCTTCTTCAGGTCCAGTAAAATGGATTGCCCTGGCATCTTGGTGTCTTCTCCACTAGTGTATAATATTCCTTGGGTTCTTCCGTTTCTTCTCAACTCCACCCCGATAGTCATGGATTGACTTGAGTAGTGAAAATGGAACTCATAGATTCCGTCGAGAGGTGCTGTGAAAATTCCGCTGTTCGGTTCCATCGCGTTACCAAAGTTTACCTCCGTCCCGTCGAAACATATAAAGCCAGTAGTGCTGATGGGAGTTGTTCTATACGCATCGAAATAAATGCCATGCTCTGCAATATGAACACCAGTTCCCACTTGAAAATCCGTATCAGTCACTTCCAACTCCATCCGACAAGGGACGACATCTATTCTCCCTTCTATCCTGTTGATCAGAAAACTCATACGAGTGTTTCCAGCCAGACGCAGAGACAAACATGATTTTCCTTGGTTTTCCAGGGAAGGAGCATGTCCTCTGCAAACCAATCCACCGAGTTTGTAATCCGCTTTTTGACCTTGAAAATATAGCCCCCCAAATCGGAGTTCAGTGATTGGGAGGGCCGTTGAATTAGTGATGGTTCCTGAGTTATTTTCTGATTCGGGTGCAACCGCATCACAGTTGCAAGGGAGTTTGCGATTGATGCAGTATCCGGAAAGGCCACAATGACATAAGTGTTTTCCGGCGTTCGCTCCATCCCAGTAGTACTGAGGTTGACCATTCCGGTCGAGCCACCACGCATATGGCGTATCTCCGAAATTCAAGGCTGCAGAAATGCAGTCGTACTGAAATGATAAATGGATCATTTTTAGGAAATTCCCCATCGCCAATCCTGCAATCGGTAACGCGCTGCTTCCGTTTCTGTTCAAGAATAAGCAAACATACTACTCAATGATTATTTAAAGATAACGTCATACGCAATGGGATCCCCTTTTCTCTCTGCACGATCTTCTCCCTTGCTTTAAAAGTAATGCGGAGTTGAAGACATGTGGTACATCATGCGCATAGCAACATAAACTCTCTGCAAATAAATGCAACTGCTCCATTGTAGTCATGGGAATGCACAAAGGCCATGTGAAAAGCAGTCTTTAACATGCACTTGTTGTCGAGAGGGCGACTCGTGGACTAATTCCTCAACCTGTACCAGTAAAAAAATAGAATATACCAGCAAGCATTATACAGTAATACGCGATTTTTCGAGGCAACGAAACCTCCTTACTCAATTTTCCTTAGCTTTAGAGCAGTACGAAGTATGTGCAGAATGTTAAAAAATAGATTTCGGGCCAAACCATGCCTTGAGTGTCAAAAGGAGCATTCACAGACATTTACATCGGAAAAGGCACCATGAGTAGCCTTCTTGAATGAGACTGACGTTAATAGTTCCTGATTGATACCGTAGGAGTCAAGTGGTACCTCCTTGGCCTCATCGGGAATAGGAGAGAAGAAGGTCTGCAGCTGTCGCCAATAAATCAAATTCTCATGCTACCGAGGCTTGGAAGACCAGAGCAGCAGTTATGTCGTCTCAGCAGTATGTAAAGACAGCTGACAATTTCTAAGATGTCTGCAACATGCGAGAAACTGTAGGTTGCTTGGGGTTAGGATTTCCGGGAATTATCGCCTTGGAGTAATCCTGGCTTATTGCCAAGCATCGAACTATGATACTGAGAAGGAGAAACTTTCCATAATCATCTTGCTGAGGTTCTCAATCGAGAAAGGAACTAATACTTAATTCCTCAAGGAGACTTCCAAGCAATGATGTGGTAAGAGGATGACAATGGTAAATTTTCCAACCGGTTGAAGCAGTTCGATAAGTACGTCCTTTCTGGAATGACCGATGGAAGTGAGACGTGGACCAGGAATAAAGTTCGCTGAGAAAGGTGTAACCAGTACACCAGAAGGAGTGATATGAGAGTGCTTCTCAGGATGTTCGTATGATTTTCAATTTCTAACATATCGGATCCATTAAATGAGTCTGTGAGCATGATCCTCTTTTCTTATTTGCTAAATATTATGTTCCAGCGTTGTCAACCTATTCCTGTAAATTAGGCACCATATCACCCTTCGGGGGTCTTGTCCTGCAGGAATGCATGCATAATTTGAAATTATCACTCTTTCAAACCTTACGACTTCTTTCCAGATGAAAGCTGGACAGTACCCCCAGTTTTGTCCCAGTCATTGAAAGGATCTGACAGGCAATCTGATTAGGTCTTCTAAGATGAATTGCTATGCTGCACAGATATTTAAGCCGATTAGAACTGGATGAAGGGAGGTACATTTTCAAACGAAAATTTTAAATGCAAATCGTTTAAAAATCAATAATGGATTGTTGATATTCAATAGAATACACTTTCCAAGGCACAATACATTTAAACATGACAGTCATGTTGACCCTGCCTGTGACATAAAGCAGCGATAAAGTCAACCTTTGCATGATAGGAGCAGGGGAGAGAGCTAAGGAAAATCAAGAGAGTCAAAGTTATCTTGTATCAGATTTCCTTACGTCCGAGGCCAATTAAAAAGTTTATTGAACCCAGTACTCCTGTAAAGTGTATGTGATTGATGATCAAGGAAAATGCCTCATCAGACAACCCTTGACACATTGACTGCCATGACATCCACAAGTGACAGACAGAGCCATAGCGTGTCGCAAGCCCTGGCTGGCAATGTGTTAACAACCCTCGTATCCTAGGTGTAAACTGGAATGACAGAAAAATGAAAATGAGGATTCAGGCAAGGCTGGAGTGAAGAAAGGGAGGCAAATAAAGTTGAATCTGTTAGACCTCCTCGCGTGGAGAATTGATAGAATATAGACCAAAGACGTTTGTGACGGTGAGTCTAAGATGAGCTGTGAAACAGAGAGCTCCAAATATTGCGTAAGGTGTCAGCAATATTAGGATGATTGCAGTAAGGTGGATCAACGGTGCTGGGGATCGAAGCTAGTGACATCGATTTGATAAATCTCCATTCAGTAGTGAATCGAAAATGGTTTAGAATGAACAAGAGTCTAAAATTCCGAAGATGTGCATAAATGAGGACGTCAAGTTATGAAGAAGACACTGACAAGTTATCAGGAGTTACGAAGGAGCTGCCGAGAAAGGTTCGACTCACACTTATTTGCTGGAGGCATGTCGCCGATTGATTGATCAATGCCGTTATCTGTTCCATGGAGGCATTGTACGCGACCTTTCGGCTGTAGCAGCCAGGCTCAGTGCAATGGTTATCTAAGTCTTTTCCATAGAATCGTGCAGAACAATAGTGGATTTTGGATCTATAAAGAAAATAGCATTGAATGTTCGCGTAGGAGGGCGGAATCATCCCATTGCGATTTAAGCTGAGTTTAAGCGAATTATTGCATTGGCCACACTGACCTGTCCCCATGTCACAGAGGACTTGAATGGGTGGATCACCAAAGAGTGACCCGTCTGGGTCCACAAGGTACGTTCCCGTCTTCGTGATCCCAAGGTTTGCCAGAGCTTCACATGTTCGGGGTGCTATTTCCCAAAGCGTTTAAAGTGCTGTTCTTATCCCAGTCAATATAATTCCATGCCAATTGTAAGACCTGTCACATGCGCAAACATATGGTACTCACTGATTTGTTTGGTAATGGCCTCTAGGTATTCCAGTCTTTCTCTCACATTCTCAAGCTTCGTTTTGTCGCTTCTATTCAGATACTCCTGGAATTGAGACTTGATATTTTTTATGTCATGCTCAAGGTTTTCGTAGTCCAGCTTTAAGTTTTTGTTGCGAAGCCTCAGGACATTCATGTCATGCTTGATCCGTGCGATGTCGCCAGCGAGCTCTTGATTTTTTTCCACCACCGTCGCCACCATCTTCTCTAATTCCATGACAGTCCTTAGGTGAAGGACGGAATTGAGTAGAATATTCTGAGACCATAAAATATATGAATGTATATGGTTAGATTTAAAAAATGGAACTAAATAGTTAATCACGAATTATTGAAATAATGAAAACAATGGATAGTCATTGGTATTTTAGCCTGAGAAGCAAGAAGCCGGTAAATAATTATATTAAGTTTCGCCCTTTCTGGATTTGAAATTGTTCGCTCTCCTGTCAGAATTCTGCTACATGTCACAAAATAAAAAAAAACATATAAACAACAAAAAGTCCAGGTCATGCGGAACAAATGAACACACGTCAGGAAAACCACATACTCATTCTACATCCATTAAGCACAAAGATAAGTTACTGATTTAACTAAGCTTGAACTTCATATTGCGTTCATCATCCTTTCCTGCTCCAACCTATCTTGGATTTCGCCTACCTCTCCAAAGGTGCACTTGGTGAAGGTAGAAAGAACAAATACGAAGACGCTTGGAGTCACCCTCATTGAACTGCTTTCTCGATATTTCGTCTGGAAGGAGGAAATGAGGTTACAGGAAACTAATTTTTGGGGTGTGTACCATAGCAGGTAAAAAAAAATTAAGGTTGAATGTATGAATGGAATGGAAATGTGGTAATATAATTCACCTAATGCCTAATAGCCTTTGCTTAATGGAAAGGCATCAGGAACAACAGATCCGCTTACTATCGCCGGCTAAACTTCATCCTTGTTAAGATTGAGTCCGGATAAGGAATTTAAATGCCGAACTCCTTCTGTTAAGAAGCTTATATTAACCGTCTTTTCTGAAATGATTTTTCATGGAATCTCTTTAAAAGCGATTGAACAAAAAATTGGCATCTGCCATATATTCCGCACATCAGGTGATTTTTTTTCTCTTAAAGCTTCGTATAATTGAAGAGCAACATAATTCCCACAATCTGTTTTGCGAAAGATGGCTTGGGGAATACCACCGCAAATACACAAGTCTAAGTTATTCTGTTTGTTGTTTTCCATCTAAGAGAACATTAAATACTTTTTCTTCTCTCAAAATTATTTGTTGTCTTTTTTATTATTGTCTGAGGCTACTATAAACACACCAAATCTCTGATGATCTTTGATGGCGTCACGTTTACGGCGTAATTATGTCGTGAATCATAGTTGCCTCCACACATTTGAATTTGAAAAAAAAATCAGCGATGCACACAAGGCGACCACATGCTATGAGCTTTTAATATTAGACTTTAGTGAATGGATGTATACATTCTAAAATATGTTCCGCGTTTCATGACATGCGCCTACGGGATCCGCTCGAACTGTACAATTTAAACAACCTTGCACACTTGAGAGGAAGCTTGACCCACCACGACTTCATTCACAGCTTCCATCCCCACCGATGATAGTAGTAATCTCGCTTCCCCAGGGAAGCGAAATAAAAGCAAGCTTACTTGAGGTATGGTTCATGAGGATGTAAGGGTATGAGGGAAGGCGATCACGATCAGCCAGAAAACCATGAAGGAATGTCAAAACATCGTGTTGTTGGCAGTTCTGTCGAATAGAATAGTCCTGTAGCTCAACAGTTTACGTCTACCCGTTTTTTTATGATAAACGCGTTGATTTACAAATTTCAAATCGTGCCCTTCCACCCTCACTTCCATTTTGATTGCGTTGTCAAGCGATTGCATGGTTGCAGTAAGTAATCAACTAGAAAATGGTAATGAGGTTTAGTTCGAACACATTGTGTATCGAAAAGAAAAAGTAATTTCTAATACTTCCCAAAAGTAATTGAACATTCTCTATACTTGACTGACGAGCCTTTATATATATTGCCTTTGCCGATCTTCATGAGAAAGTGAACAAATCTGAAGACTTGCCTTGCTTCAGTAGGAGAATTGAGGACGTAGCAATCCAACTTTTTATTTCAAGAACTAGCAGTAAGCATAATCAGGACACTTTTGTGGATGGACTCGAGAGTGAGAAGCATGGTCCCCTTCCACTCTCCATGCTATGTCCTATGCCCAAGTTTGGTTTATCTATGCGGAGAAGGAAAAAAGGAATCCTCCATACAGATGTACGGCGCATGAGTGCCGGTGGGTTACTTTTGAACCCAAAGTGCGTAGGTCAAGTGGCATGTCTTATCAGTTGACGTACTCCTTGAGTACCTCTCCACATCTTTCGCGCGTTATGGGTCGGTGTTTGGATCGGCCCCCTGACTTCATCGAGGACCCTCGTAGCACCTAACACTGAATCATTATCCAGACGTTAAATCAGCATATAATCGATGTTGATTCAATCTTATGGGCTACTGGGGAAAGTTCATTTTTAATTTGACCTTTCAACTTTGGAATATTGGAAAAGAAATGCGAGCACTTTTAGAGACTCCCGGTGGAGGAACTATTCCCTCTTGCATCGGATGCGAATGAAACCACCCAAACAGCATGTTTATGTTAATTTTACGTAAAATGAATGTAACTTTTTTGTCCATTTTATATCATTTTTACGCAAACCATGGTCAAGGAAATGTCAACATGTTTGCAGAAATGTCACCTCTGTGATACGTAAACGGTGATATAAAATTAACGTCAATTTTACGTAAAATTAACATTCCCGTTTGCATTCCAAACAGCATGTTTACATTCTTTTTATGTAAAATTTATGTCAATTTTCCCCTGGCATTCATGCGTATTTAAAGAGCCAATCAGTACCATTTCATACAATTTATATACTGAATCTTCTATTCCTTTAGGTTCTTCAGAACTCTAGGGTGGTTGGACGAGAACACGAGTACTCATCTTCACCAACACTTAAAGAGTACCAAAGTGACCTACTGCTTCCTCCTCCCTTATCGTGAACCTCGGGAGGAGTAGTAGATGTTCAAAGGAGCTTTCTTTTTTTTAGGATAGAGATGATATAGTACTTCAGGGGCTGGGAATCTACTCTTCCCTATATCCCGTGCACTGCTGTAATGAAAAGCTTAACCTCAGCATTTAATGATTCCCTGAGTCATATATAATAAAAATATATATAATAATTTCATGTTTTCCATATATATATTCATGGATTGCATAATAAAAAGTAGAAGGATGGTAAGAAAACCTGATACTATATCAGGAAAACCAGTACTTAATAGTAATTGTAGTTACACATATACTTTGGTGGCGTAAATATAGGAACGTAAATTTTACGTAAACGTGATGTCATTTTCATGGCAATCGCAAGAAATTTACATTGTTTGCAAAAAATTGATATCTTGTTTACGTGAACATGCTGCTTGGGCAGGATCGATGAAGAACTTCTCTCGGAAGGTTCTGCGTCACACATTCGTAGTGTGCCACCACCGAGTTTTATCCGCGAAGTTCGGGGGTCAGTGGCTTGCCTGATTGCATGTTAGGATTATGTGATGTAGAGCATGGGTTCCAAATCTGGCCGAATCCGGTATGTTCATACTCGATATAGACACCGACGTGTTTGGAATGATGCATTGAATCATTGTTGACTAGTCGTGGATTGAATGTATCACTGTTGACGGTTACATCCATGTCACATTTATTTTGATTCAATGCGGTGACCGTCACCATTTATACCACACATAGGTGTTTTCTAGGACTGTTTTTATGGTACATGGTAAACACATAGTGTTTCTCAATTAAGTATGTTTTTTTGAATAATAATTATTATTGCTGTGTAACATGACTACCTGAGTATGGTGAATGCCTTTCTTATCGGAGTACTATTGGTTATCCAAAGAAAGGACAGACTCACGTGAAAGCACTTCATCGCGGCAGCGTTGCTTCCATGTTGATTAGGACGACGCTTCTGTATGACATCAATATTTCAACACTGATTCAGCGTTGACTCGATATGGGAAAGAGCAATATTGCGAGAACGTTGTCCGGTCAACGTTACATCATCAGATATCAGGCGAGACGTACAAACAAACAATATATCTTGACCGCGAAGTGTGATGGCGACCACTTGCCAACACGGAGAGTTACCTTATATCTGCAAGCAGAACGCGTGTCTGGTACTTTTGGAGTAGTACTTGATATTTCCCCCACAAACGACGCTGGGGAAGGTATTTGACTTCCTGGATGTATTCCACCAAAGTGACTACCGAACCAAACAGACCCTGGATAATTCTGAGCAGGGTGATGGACACAAGAAAATTTGTGAGGTCATGTTACTCCATGAGGCCACATCGCCTGACTCCGAGAATATATCACAATCATAATCGCTGCCGAAGGATACGTGGAGTGACGAGTAGCTCGTTATTACATCACAGTGATCATTTCGGTGTCCTCTTGCTTCGGGGAAACATCATGTTTCTCATTCAGCTTTTTCTCATTCCAGTATTAAGTTCGCATTGTCCTTGGATCTTTTAAGAGCGAATTCGGAGGATGAAGATCGTGTCCAGATGATATTCAAATAATATTCAAACGGCGCATGTGCACGAATTAAACCGATTGTCGAGACCTGTCATATCAATGTTGAACCATCGTGGATTCAACATTTCTTCAACGTTGAGGAAAATTAATTTTTTTAATCGAGTCATAGTTGATAAGCAAATGTTCAATTAACGTAGCAATGCTACAACGTTAATCCATAAAGAAATATGTTACTTGGTAAAAATATTTACTCAAGGAAGCGAAGAAATCTCAGCTAACTTTTTGTCCGATGAATTAGCGGCAATAGCTATTGAAGGTCATTGCATTATACTTTATAGCAAAAATACATTAAAGTTAGTATATCTGAGAGTCTGCTATTCTTCTCAAATTCACCAGATGGAATTAACATCTCTATTAACATTGAGAAATCCATGGTGGTGTTGTCACACCATGTGTTAGCATGCTGATATCACGTATTACCACATCTTAGAATCGGACGATATTAATGGACAAATAATCCAAGGGTAAAAAGGCAAATTCCATTTGCCAATCTCCACCCTTCCTTCTCCTCATCCCCACCGTTCCTCTCACCCTGTCCACACCTTCTTTCCTCATCGGCCTCACTCCCCTATCTCAGTCCTCTAAATTCCACTCCTGTCCACACTCATCCCACATGCAATTTAGAAACGTACTTAAGACTTTCACCCCTTCCACACCAATCCTCCCCAGTTCCACACCAATCCTCCCCAGTTCCACACCATTCCACCCCTATTCTATCCGTGTGGATGGGTGAGATTTTTTAAGAAGGGAAGTACACTCACCACCAAAAAAAGAAATTCACGCCAAGAAGGAGTTGAGCGATCTTGATGGAATTTAGTAATCATACTCGTTTTAGTGCGTTATGAAATTCATGCTAGTTTCAAGGTCGTAGGTTGACTATTTGCAGAGAAAACATGCAAAATATCCCAATTGAAATGGGGTCGGAAGGGTCGTTCTTATCGCCCACAAAGAACATCTAGAAGGAGTTTATTAATGGAATGCGAAATAGGAACTCCTACTGATGTTTAGTACAATGGAGCAAAGTATCAAGGTCATAGGTTGAAGCGATGCAGGGAAAACTTGCCGAGTTAGCCGAACGCCCCGAGGGATGGGTAAAAGTGCAACTACACTGATCAGGCCAGTTTCCCTTTCTGCTTCCCTCCATTCACTCTGACTTGCTTCAATCGTTTATTTTTCGTCTTTAAAGCCATGCCAGGACGACGTCCACAGAGGCAGTTTCGCCAACTTCACCAGTTAGAACGAGGTCGGTTAGTTGGCATGATGGAGGTAGGCCATGCCATGCATCAGGTTGCGCATCGGCTAAGTGTAAACTACCGTCCGGCGTTGGTGGACTCCGTATCAGAATGGGACTAACCATGAAGGGCAACGGGCTTTCTTTTAGGACTGTGTACCGGCGTGTAATCCAGCAGGTACTGCGGTCTAGACGACCTGTCTGAGTACCTGTCCCCACCATCAGTACCTTCCTTGAACACGGGTAGAAGCGATTCGGTCTCGGAGAATCTACGTCCTGAAAGACCGGTCATCCCTGGGCGCCGGGATGCGAGGAGGGCGTGATCCTCGTTGCCGTTTATGGTTAGCCCCATTCTGATCCTGATTCTGATTCTGATATCGACAAAACCAATATTAATTACAGCCACCAGTTCGATGCAAGAGAACGCATTTCAGGATTTTTCCTCATCGCCTGTAACATCCACCAGAAATACGTCCTCGCAACCTATGACCACACATCCTGGGGGAATGGAAGCAACGACGACAACGGGGAAAAATGAAAATGTCAACATTCGCTCTTTTCCATGGTTCCGTACCTATGTCAGTAAGAAATATTTAATGCCCGGGGCCTGGCGACTGAAATCCCCGCAACATAATTCAAATGAAGTAATGTGAAAACCAATTTTCAATCGCTTTCCCTTTCTTCAACCTCCCCCCTCCAGCCTCTCTACGGGACTCACTAACGTAAGGCTTAGGCCTAACCAACAGACTGCCTTCAGATCTCGTCAAGGCCTACCTTTTCCTTTTCAAAAGAAACTCAATTCTCGACTTACGGCGCCAATTAGGCCTATCAGGGTGAATCGTGGTCTTCCAGACATATGGTTAAGGACGTGTAACGTTAGGTCAATCGCAGGCCTATTCATACGTTCATGAACCATTTCAGAGTGGACGTTTAACGTTAGACCGATTGGAGGACTGTTTCGCGTTTCATGAACCATTTCAGT